CTACTATGTGGCTGTGGCAGGTTAGCATTGTGTACATAATCGGTTTCTCAAAAATACGCCTAATAAGTGTATTGCAATTTTCAATAGTGTAATAGAGAAGGTCTTTTGGTAATCTCAAAAAAATTAAATCCAAAGTCTGGTTCTCACCCTCATTCCCTTCCCCGCTGTACCTACTATTGGTTCCTGACACACTTATTTTTCTTGTTAATGTATTCTCATGGTCCTCTCTTTTGAGGTTAGTCCATTTGCAGGAATTTATTCACTCCTGTTACTTATGAAAAAAATTTATTCTTTCCTGTTACGCTAATTTCTGAATTTATTTTTGGCAGGTTAAACCCTAAGCTGAATGAAGCCAGGGAACGGTATGTTGTACCTTCTTGGCTGTTTATTTTTGCTTTTTTTTTTTTGGGGCGTAAACTGTCTGTTTTGCGCGCTAATTGATGGTAGTACATTTTAATGCATTCTGCTGGTCAACAAGTAGTTCTTCGCTTGCTTACTGTGGTGGTATCTTGTAGATTCTTTTTTGTTTTTAACTTTATTACCTTAGATTATTAAATGTGATATAAGATATTAGGTTATCAATCTTAGTGCCTCGTAAGCATATGGCTTCGGGTCCAAAATCGATGGTGCTACACTAAGCTTGACATAAGCTGCCTCTACTGATATCTGCATTGCTTGAGTAACCTTCACGAGCATCTTCATGTCAAACTTATATTATTGAAATTCCTATCTTTCATCATCTAGATCTACCTTTCTCTTCTTAAAATTTCTAAATTGTCTTTTCTCACCTCTCATAGATTGTCAGTCTCCATATACCATTCTTGGCCTTGACCTGAGCTTGCTTATATCTTGGCTTGGCTCGACACCTTTATCGCCCTAACATGCTTACTCTTCTAATTATCTTCCTCTGCGCACATCGAGGATTCTTTTTTTTTTTTCCTTCCTTTTGGATTGGGTAAAAAGCCATTTTATTGCACCTAGTGTAAAGTGAATGCTATGGAGTCTGCATTTCAACAAAACAAAAGCCAGCTACATTGCTGCACATATAAGGACTTAAGGAAATCCAACATGCTGTCTGTATCTCATTCACCAAAATGCTAATGGAGAATACATTTTATATACAAATTCTATTTTGGTTATCGTCTATGATTTGTTTCCTTCCCTATAACCCACCAAATGCGAGCGGGAACAGATCTCCACAGCTCCCAATTCTCTTTCCTGTAGGTTCGTCTGAGTCAAACGGCACCTTTGTCAACAAACATGTAAAATATTTAACTTGTAAAGTTCCCTACTTCCCCATAAAGTTTTCCACGACTATTCTTGTTCCCATGAGGTCTTCCTGTCTGCATATAAATCTTTTTAACTGCTTTAACTGAAAACACATCACGTCTGCTCTGTTTCCACATTATTTTACCCTCTGCGTGTCTCCAAGTAGAACAAGAATCAATTAGCTGAAGTAGAGAGCAAAATTTTCATCCACCTCCCAATCAGTTATATCTCAACATCATTTCCAATCCGTCCATTGTCCAGTACTCAGCCACTGTAGCCCTTTTGTTTGTTGCATAATTAAGTTCTCTTTTCTCTATTTCCTCGCCATTGACAATTTCTACTTAGCTTATCAAGCCTCCTCTCCACCTGTAGCGCATCTGTCGCACCACTAACAAGCAGAAGCCTACCACCCAATGATAAGCTGAGAACTATTGGCCTTCCATTTTAACAACCTTTCCTTGCATTTTCCATGAATCCAGTCCTTATCATATCTGCTTTATGATTAGTCCCAACAGGCATTCCCTAAAACTGCAGCTCATGATGCCAACCAGCTCTTGGATGTTTTCCACATCATTTACCGGGTATATTGAAGACCATAAACCAGCTCGAATAACACTACTCTTCCTTGGCACCACCAAGGAGGAGAGAGTCATCTGCTTACAAAACATTAGAGATAGGCACTTTGCCCTTTAGAATTAACAGAACGATCCCTTATCTAGGTTTCAATGGGTTCTAGATTTCCTTTGGGTATCCTTGGTGGGAGTTTTGTTGAAAGAACAAGAAAAAGCTGTATCTTTCAAGTGGAAGAGAGAGAGCCCTTGCTTTCTTGGAATTTAGAGTTTATGCTTAAAGGAACAGATCTTGTAGAGAATTTGCTGTGGTGCGAGGAGTTTTTGGTTTGGTATTGACTTGAGTTTGCGGCTTGTTATTGATCAAGAAACCCTGCAATTTGTTACTATTTGCTGTGCTTAAGATGTGCATTATGTTACATCTTAATGTCTTATGTTGTCTTAAAATTGGATATTATGTCTTGACATCTAGACATGTTTTCTAAGTCCCTTTTTTCAGGCAAAGTGTTTAATTATTATCGAACTACTCTAGTTTCATTAATTTAATTCACTTTGTTATTTGCCACATCAGGGACCGTGTTCTTCACTTGGAATGGGAAGCTGCAAAGAAAGAGATGAACAGTTAAAGTGTCTAGTTGTGCACTTATTTATGAGGATGTAGCGTTGATCCTTGTAAAAATACATTTCCTAGATGTAGAAAGATACTTAATTCTGTGATCTTGTATCAGATCCCTGGGACATGATGTATGTTTTCTCTCTCTTGGGAATTGGTTCTCTAAAGAAGCGTCTGCAGTAAATGCTAATCTCCGTATACAATTTTCTAGTAAGCCATAGTTTAGAGATACCACAAGCCATTAAAAACTTACCGGGCGTCTGGTGTTGATTAGTGTTTAGGGTGTGGTCGAAGATCAGGCTTGACTGAGACTTCATTGATGGCGCATTTCATTTTGGGTGGTGTTTCAGTAAAATTATGACTGAATTTATCATCTCTTTCCTCAAACGAAGGTTTCCCCTTAGCTATTCTTTCCTAAGTTTAACCTTTCATCAGTACGTTTAGTCCTTATAAATTACCTAAATTGTATGTCAACTGCACCTGAAAGGGATACGCCCGAGTCAGGGCTAGTGACATGAGTGAAGTCCTAACATGGTAGCCAAACTAGAAGGTGTGGCTGGATCACCTCCTTTTCAAGGAGAGCTAATGCTTGTTGGAAGTTTACTCTTTCCCTATCTTTTGTTATCGATCGAACCCTCTCGTTTACGCTAAACTATACTAACTTATCATGATTATGTAATTTTGTTAGGTGAAAATATGTGGTATTAATTAACCATGATTAAGTGAGATGCGTGTATTTCTAAGGTGAAAAAAATGTCTATTTACTAACACGACGTGCAATCTTTACCTCATTCCGCAAATATATTAGAATCGCCATTTAGAACGTTTCTAATTGTTCCATTTGAGCTCTTCCACATATATTCCAAGTTAAACTCCGTCACACATGCCTTATATGCAAACGTATTAAACTCCGTCACACATGCCTTATATGCAAAAGTAGCACTTACATAATAGATATCGGGTGTGTTTGGTACGAAGGAAAATATTTTTGGAAAATATTTTTTAATTTTCTCATGTTTGGTTGACTTAAATGTTTTGGAAAGTATTTTTCTTATGAACTCATTTTCCTCCAATTGGAGGAAAATATTTTCTTTATCAAGAGAAGGAAAAACATTTTACAAAACTCCTTCTCAACCTTCCCCACCCTCACCAACCCACCCCACAC